TGTGTTCTACGGTCAGCCCTAGGGTTTCTTCACAGTGGCCGAGATAGGAGAGAGAGAAAAAAAAAAGAAGGAATAGAGAAGTGGAGAAAAGAGGTGGCTGTAACCAGTCAGACCGATTAGTGCTCTGATACCATGTTTGCTGGAGAACAGCAGCCGAAGAAGAAGAAGAAGAAGAAGAAGAAGAAGAAGAAGAAGAATTGAGAATGGCGGCATTCACACTTCAGCCAGCCCTATAACCTTATATAGATGTTTACAAAGTAATGTTACAAGAATGGACTAGAATGCCCCTGATTAGTGATAGGACACCTAGACATAAAAAAAGAATAAAACAAGTTTAGGCCCGATAACTAAGGCCCAATAACTAAGAACTTAAAACATAAATAAGACTAATATAAACACTAAACCAATTGAACCAACAAAATCTATGTTTTACATATCCATTGGATATTGGACTGAATTTGGATCTTTCTGATTGGATATTCAATCGATCACGAATGTTGACTTTGTTGGGTCCAACAAGAATGGCCTCCCTTATCAAAACCAGATAAGGGTAATGTTCATAGTTTTCCTAGATTCTTGGAGAGTTTGTGTTGGGGGAGTTTGGGTATTGGTTTGTCCCATAAAACAGATGTATCTAGTTATGATGTAACACCTGCAATATAAGCTCCTTGTGTGTCTTTTTTGCTTACTTTAATAGTATAGATAGCACTTTGCCCCCAAAAGAAAAATTTAGGGGCTTAGAGCTAGGGTCTGTTAGATATTCATGATTTTTCCCTCTTCATGATGTTTTTGTGGCATAACAAAACAATAATATAAGTGGATGTCCTTTTCCAGGGCCTTATACCTGCTGAACACCGTATTCAGTTGTGTGATCTAGCTTGCAGAAGCTCTTCATTCATAATGGTGGATCCATGGGAGGTAAGCCTCCGTGTGTGCCATTTGTCTACAAACAAAGTTTTATGTCTTAAATTGTTCATTTTTTTTAATTATCCTAGCTTTTGTATATGGATCTCCATTCATTGACGGATATTATTATCTTGTGGTGGCAGTTAGTTATGGTACATAATTCATGCTAGGCTGCTAGGGCACAAGTTAGGTGAGGCCTAATCTGAAGTATACTGATCTAACCTGACCTTCATGTGGCCTTGGGCTGGAGAGTTTCTTTGGATTGATAATAAATACTTCATTAGTAATAAGAAAACACGTGAATAAAAGAAACTAGAAAGAATAAGAGTGGAAATGAACATATTTTTAGTTACTCAGGAGTAGCCCCAGTAGGTGATAAAATGAGGGAAAGTAGACTAAAATCGTTTGGTTACTGCAAAGAAGACCGTCTATAACACCAATGAGAAGAAGTGATATTTTTCTAGTTCTTTCTTGAAATGGTAAAGTATTGCTTTAATATCAAAAAAGGGATACAACTATTGGCAATGTACACCCATTTTGTGTTAAGGATTATAATGCACCCCTATCAAAAAGTCTATTATAATCTAACCCTCTAAGCTCCTTGTGCACTAGCATCCATGAACATATTATTCACTTAACCTTTCTCAATATTACTTGATTTGATGCACTTGAATTCTCAAAAATCTGAGCATTCCTCTCTCCCCAAAGACGCTAGAGCACAGCCATATGAATCAATCCCCATACAATTCTCTTGCTTTTGCTATTACCCTCAATCTGCCAGCTCAATAAAAGAATGGGGGAAAACATGTTAACCTAGCAGTTCGAACAAGGAGAGCAAGCACAACTTTAGGGGTGTCAATAGAATGAATCGACCCCCACCCCCCAAAGAATCCTATATATATTAATTATATGTACAATTACAATAGAACCCTTTTGAAAGAAAGAAATAAAAGAATATGTAGAGTACAACATGGACTATAATAGTACAATACATCAAAATTTTCCACACTCCCCCTCAAACTGATGTGAGGAAGCATCAGTTTGCTTACAAGAAAGAGATGTTTGTATCTTGCCATAGCCTTAGTAAAAGGCTCAACAATCTGCATATTTGAGGTTACATGTGGAAGAGAGATAGAACCAACAAGAAACATGTTTCTAATAAAGTTGCAATCCACCTCAATGTGTTTAGTTTTCTTATGGAAAACTGGATTAGAAGCAATCTTGATAGCACTAGTGTTATTTGCATAGAGAGGAATAGGTGTAGGAAGATGGACACCATGATCTGCAAAGAGGGATTGTAGCAAGACTATCTTGCTACAAACAGATGACATGGCTCTATACTCTGCTTCAGTAGATGACTTGGGATGAACACCACGATTTGCGGAAAGGGATTGTAGCAAGACTATCTTGCTACAAACAGATGACATGGCTCTATACTCTGCTTTAGTAGATGACTTGGAGGCTGTTTTTTGTTTCTTGCACTCCCAAGCGATGAGGGGATCACCCATAAAGACACACAACTCAATAGTAGAATGACGGGTGTTGAGGCAACCTTCCCGATCTGCATCAACATGGGCCCATAATTGAATAGGAGAGGAGGAAGATAAGAATAACCCCTGTGATAAAGTGCCATGAACAAAATGAATAATCCAATGAACAACAATCATATGAGTTTGATGAGGGGCAGAAACAAATTGACTAACAACCTGAACCGCATGAGAGATGCCATGATGAGTCATGGTAAGATAAATGAGAGACCCCACAAGTTGTTGATATAGAGTAGCATATGAAAACAATGAATCTTTTGACTTAGATAACTTAACATTTCAGCTCTAAAGGAGTATCAACTTGCTTGTCATCAGTAAGACCAACAAGTTTGACAAGATCAGGAGCACACTGTCTCCTTTAGCTAACCATGAAGGAAAGCATTCTTCACATCCAACTGGAATATAGACCAAGAATGCACAACATACAGAGCCAAGAAAATATGAATTGTAGTAATCTTGGCAACTAGGGCAAACGTCTCTTCATAGTCAATACCATATTTCTATGTGTACCCCTAAGCAACAAGTAGGGATGGCAACTGGGCGGGTTCGGGGAGGGTTTTGTAAATTATAGACCTTACCCGCCTCCCTAAACCTCCCAACCCATACCCACCCCAAAACCCGTAGAGGGTTGGATTTTGAGAATCCAAACCCTACCCGCACATGAAAATGCAAAACCCTCCTCGATCCTACCCTCCCCGTGTTCAAGGGTAGGGCAGGTTGGATTTAGATCCCGTATCTAATTTCCTATTATTTCTTGTTATATATAAGTAATAAATAAGTAAATTTACACAAATAAACAACAAAATTTCCAATTATTTGATTAAGACATGTAGAAAACACATGAACTATCAATTATCTTTCATGTAAAATTCAAAATATTATCAAATTCAACACTTGGTACATAAAGTTTATATGCTTTCCAACAATATGCGGGTCAGGGAGGGTCGGGTTTAGCCTAATACCGTACCCTACCTGTACCCGTATGGGTTGTAGAATACTAAAACCCGTACCCACCCCAAAACCCCGTCCTTCAAGCAAAAAAACCCACCCCATCGAGTAGGGTAGGGGTGGGTACCCACCGGGTAGGGTAGAAATTGCCATCCCTAGCAACAAGATGAGCTTTGTATCTATCTAGGAAACCACTAGAATTCAACTTGATAGTGTAAACCCATTGGCTCTCAATGATATAAGCATCCAAGGGTGTAGGCACAAGATCCCAAGTGTCATTCTCATGTAAAGCATGAATCTCTGCATCCATGGCTTCTTTCCAGTGTGGATTTCTATGGCTTGCTGGTTTGAGCAAGGAATATATGTGGAGGATAAAACAACAGACAATGAGCTATGGTTTTTAGGAAAACCATAGCGGTTAGGAAGCCTAGAGATACAAGTAAAACAATGAAAAGAAAAAAAAGGAACTAATGTGGGATCTAGAGGAGGGGTATCTGAAGAGGGAGAACCACTTATAAAGCAGTAGTAGGGTGATGGTCTGAATCGAGAAGAAGGGGGGTCGTAGGTGCAGGATCTAGAGCACGTAGCCATTTTCGAGTGAAGACGAGGAAATCCTTCATAGCAGTTGGAGGAAAAACATCCTATGAATTAAAGTTTTGTAAAATGGAAACAGATGGTGGATGCAATCTAGCAACTCCAGCAAAGGAGATATGATTAAGGAAAACACCATTATGAGAGACACAGATACGGCGAATAGATGGATCATAACAAAGAAATCCCTAGGCTTGTAGTTAGGAATTTATCCCACAAAGGCATACATAGTAATATGAGCAAATAACTTAGGGTGTTCATGAGGAAGGTGAACAAAACAGAAAAATCCAAATAAATGGAGACTAGACAAATCTAGAGAACAACCAAACATTTTCTGATAGGGAGATATATTACCAAGAACAAAAGAAGGAACATAGTTGATAAAAACATAGCCGTACTTGTTGCCTCTACCCAGAAAGAAGACAGAGGATGAGACTCCTATAGTAAGGTGATGTAGGAGCATGTGGGGCCTACATGTAACCCCACTAACAGCTGGTTATTGGGGCAGCCAAGATAGTTATTCATCTTGTTTTCTTATTTTCTCGAGTTATGTATCTTGTATGAACTTTATAGTTGGTTGTTAGTGTCATAGACATATTTTAAGTTGGTCATGTGATTGTCATATAAGTCACTTAAGTTGGGGTATTTTGGTCAAATTGTGTGTTATTTTTTGATAGATTTGGCCAAATTGTGTTAGGGCGTTGCTTTGCTGGGAGGTAGTTATATAAGTCATATATCATGTTTGTAGAAGGATCTTTTTGCTGTTTTCAAACCCCAAATGCATAAACTATCCATTGAAGTGGTGATTTCAGCCCTAAAGGTGGGTTCTTTATTCCAACTTCAAGTGTATTGTTTCACCTCAAGATTTATCACTTGCTGCCATTTTCTGCTGGTTTTATAACTTTTGTTACATCTCCTCATAACACTAAGTATGTGTCCGTTCTTTCACTCAGCCACTATTTTACTAGGACTATCTGGATAGCTTCGTTAAGCTTGTATTCCATGGCTCTCTATATATACTAGAAAATCTTCACCAATGTATTCTCTCATTGAATCTGAACGGAGAATACACATATGTGATAAATAGCCAAAATGTTGGAAAAACTTTTGAGTTGTACAAGAGAAAGTAAATCCATGTGTGCCTGGTGTAATCATCAATGGATAGTACAAAATACTTGTATCCCATCCGAGAAAATAATAGATGAAGTCCAAACGTCATTATGAATAATTTCAAATTGAGAGGTAGCATGTTTAGATGAGTGAGGAAATGGCAAATTACGACCCTTGTTCAAACAACAAGATACTAATGATGTATCAAAAGTCTATAAAGAAGGGATTTTATTTTTAACAAGATCAAAGTCAAACAAAAACTTTAATTTGTTAGAATGCGGATGACTTAAGCATTTATGCCAGAAATCCCAAACATTGTTTCTTTGACTGAAAACAAAATTAGAAGAACTAAAATAAGCTAATGATGTTGTCGTTTGAGACTTTTCGAACTCTAATTCAAATAGATGGCCCTGCCTATGCCCCTTATCTTTCACCTTTCTAGTATACCAGTCCTGAAGCAAAAAACCATCATGAGATAATGTGAGAATATGACCTTCATCAACAAGTTGACCAACTGAAATCAGGTTAGTGGTAAGGTTAAAAACAAAGAAGGTCTTGGTAAGAGGGAAGGAAGTAGTAGGGGAAAGCTTAAGGGACAAATTATTACTACCAATGATTTTCAGTTTTTCACCATTTGCAGTAGCGATGTGTTTATGATGGGTTTCAGTGGATTCTTGGCCTTCTTAGTTCTCTTCTTCCATCGGCTCTTCTTTCATCTGGAGGAATTGGTCCTCTCCTGTTGGCGAATCCCCTTGCTATTGTTGTTTCAAAAATAGTTATCCCATTCCTGCCTGTCTTGCGGCACATGYGGTACCA